GCCTCCCACAGTGCTGGGATTACAGGCTTGAGCCACCGCGCCCGGCCTGAATATTCTTCTAAATAAAAACTGAGTCAAAAGGAAACTTAAAATATATTGTATTAAGCCATTTTTGCATTACTATAAAGAAATATTTGAGCCTGGGTAATTTATAAAGAAATGAGATTTAATTGGCTCACAGTTCTGTGGGCTTTACAGGAAGCACGGTGCTGGCATCTGCTTGGCTTCTAAGGGAGTTCTCATCAAGCTTACAATTATGGTGGAAGGTGAAGGGGGAACAGGCACATCACATGTTGAAAGCAGGTGAAAGTGAGAAAGAGTGGAATGAGGAGGTGCCACACACTTTTAAATGACCAGATATCATGTGAATGTAAAGTGAGAACTGACTTATCACCAATGGGATGGCCCAAGCTGTTCATGAGGGATCCGTTCCCATGTCCAAACTCCTGCTGCCAGGCCTCACCTCCAGCATTGGAAATTAAATTTCAACACGAGATTTAGCTGGGGGCAAATATCCAAACTATACATACATTAAAACTATTTTAAAATCTATTGATATGAGAACTATACACAAAAATGGGCTATTGCTAAAGTAGAACTTTTTTATTACCAGAATAGAAAAAGAGAAAATAAGCACTGTGCTTAACATTTAAAAAAATACTGGGGCTGGCTCACACTTGTAATCCCAGCACTTTGGGAGGCTAAGGAGGTGAGCAGATCACTTGAGCTCAGGAGTTCGAGACCAGCTGGGCAATGTAGCGAAACCCCGTTTTCAAAGAAAATACAAAATTAGCTGGGCCTGGTGGCCCGTGCCTGTAGTCCCAGCTACTAGGGAGACTGAGGTGGGAGGATTGCTTGAGCCTGGGAGGCAGAGGTTGCAGTTTGCTGAGATAGAGATAGCACCACTGCACTCCAGGCTGGGTGAGAGAGGAAGACCCTGTCTTAAAAACAAAAACAAAAACACGCACACAAAAGAAACACACACACACACACACACACACACACACACACACACACACACACACCCCTGCTGGGAGGGGAAGTGGGGAGAGCAGTCTCCAGAAAACCAATCTCTTTTTCAGCTCAGCCAAGCCTACCTCAGCTACACTAGAATACGCAAACAAAAATGGGATTCTGTTGTGCCACTCATAACCAATTTGAGTAAAAATATTTTTTTCCAAAAAAAAAAAAAAGATTGAATAGACATATGTAGCATAAAGAGTAAGTTGTTCAGGAATAAAGATGCGCAAGAACTTTTTTTTCTTTGGTACATGTTCTTTTTTTAATTATAAAATATTAAAATGTAAAAAACTTTTTTTCTACTCAGCAATAATTACAAATAACAGCTCCACATGGTTTGTTAAAAATAATTTAATTCAAACAGTGATTAGTCAAAATGACAAAGTCATAAAAACATATTCTCAGTAACAGCTTTTACACGCGATGCTCCATTCATCAGTTTCTCAATCGTTATGCATCTTTAATACTTTTTTTCTGGTTTTGGAATTTTTTTAGATGGTTTTCCTGTTTTTCTTATTTTCAGTTAATTCTATAGGTCTAAGCTATATGAACACTGAAATTTTAAGTAACCTAAATACTAAGTGGGAAACAAGAAATTTGTGTTATGCCCAGGCTCCATAAACTTACACAGTCATTAAATTAAAATGTAGTCACAAAAAGTATCCATTGAAGTGAAAAACAAAATAAGATGATCAAACTGTACATAATGTGTTTTCAAGTTAAAAACTAAAATAAAAAAATATAAGCACGTAAGAATATATCTATATTTATGCCCAGAAAGGGATTTAGGAAGGTAGAAGTCATTGTTCAATATAAATCATAATTTTTATTATAAATTGACAAATTATCATTGTATATATTTATGAGGTACAAAATGATATTATGTCTCATATATACAGTGTGGTATGATGAAATTAAGCTAATTAACAAATCCATCACCTCGAATACATATCATTTTTTGTGGTGAGAACATTTGCAATTTACTCTCTTAGCAATTCTTTAAATCTTTTAAAGTATATTTATTTTATACTTTAAGTTCTGGGATACATGTGTAGAACTTGCAGGTTTGTTACATAGCTATACATGTGCCATGGTGGTTTGCTGCTCCCATCAACTCATCATCTACATTAGGTATTTCTGCTAATTCTATCCCTCCCCTAGCCCCCCACCCCATGACAGGCCCCAGTGTGTGATGTTTCCATCCCTGTGTCCATGTATTCTAATTGTTCAACTCCCACTTATTATTAACTATGGTCATCATGCTGTGCAATAATCTCAAAAAACATATTTCTCCTAACAGAAACTTTTAACCTTTTAACCAACATCTCCCCCATCCCCAGCCTTCGATAACCACCATTCTACTCTCTACTTTTATAAGGGTTAGATTTGTTTGTTTGTTTGTTAGGTTGGATTTTTTTTTTTTTTTTTTTTTGAGAAAAGGAAGGAAGGAAGGAAGAGAGGGACGGAGGGAGGGAGGGAAAGAGAGAGGGAGGCTTGCTCTGCCACCTAGGCTGGAGTGCAATGGCATGATCTCAGCTCACTGAGGCCTCTACCTCTTGGGTTCATGCAATTCCCCTGCGTCAGCCTCCCGAGTAGCTATGACTACAGAGTCATGCCACCATGCTTGGCTATATAAGTGTTTAATTGTTTTATACTCCACATTAAGTGAGTTCATGTGTTTTTCTGTTTCTGACTTATTACACTTAGCATAATAACCTCCAGGTTCATCCATGTTGTCTCAAATGACAGAATTTCCTCTTTTTAAATGCTGAATACTATTTTATTGTGAATACATACCACATTTTCTTTATTATTTCATCCACTGATGGACACTTAGCTTGATCCCATAACTTGGCTGTTGCAAATAATGCTGCAATGAACGTGGCAGCAGAGACATCTCTTCAGCATACTGATCTCACCTCTTTTGCATATACACCAAAAGAGGGATTGTTGGATCATATGGTAATTCTATTTTTAGTTTTTTGCAGAATCTCTATACAGTTTTCCATAATGGCTATATTAACTTACATTCTTGTCAAACAATGTACAAGGGTTTACTCTTCTCCAAATCCTCACCAAATTTTATCTTTTGTCTTTTTTGATAATAGCCATTCTGACAAGTGTGAGGTGATAGCATTGGTGGTATTACACTGCATTTCCCTAATGAGTAGTGATGTTGAGCATTTTTTCATCTGTCTGTTGGTCATTTGTATGTCTTCTTTTGAGAAATGTCTATCCAAGTCTTTTGCCCATTTTTCTTTCTGTTTTTTTTTGTTGTTGTTGTTGTTGTTTTTGAGACAGAGTCTCACTCTGTCACCCAAGCTGGAGTGCAGTGGTGCCATCTTGGCTCACAGCAACCTCTACCGCCCAGGTTCAACCAATTCTCCTACCTCAGCCTCCTGAGTAGCTGGGATTACAGGTGCATACCACCACATCCAGCTAATTTTTGTGTTTTTAGCAGAGACGGGATTTTGCCATGCTGGCCACGCTGATCTTGAACTCCTGACCTAAGGTGATCCCAAAGTGCTGGGATCCTGCCTCGGCATCCCAAAGTGCTGGGATTACAGACATGAGTCACCACGCCTGGCCCACTCATTTTCATTTTCTTCTTATTGAGTTTTCAGAGTTCCCCATACATTTTGGGTATTAATCCTTTATCAGATGTATGTCTTGTGTTTGGCCATTTGTACATCTTTTCTGAGAAGTATTTGTTCATGCCTTTTGCCCCATTTTTGATGGGATCATTTGTTTTTTGCTTGTTCAATTGTTTAATTCCTCATAGATTCTGGATATTAGACCTTATGTGAATGCATAGTTTGTGAATAT